GACCTTCTAAGTGAATTAATTCTGGAGTCTCAGGAAATTCTCGCCGTCGGCGCCCTAGTTCAATTCTTCACATTTTGGTCCTTTTCGCTCCAAATTCACTCCTTTTTGCATCTTTTTGCTCAAATGACCCTAATTCATCATTCCTGCAACAAAACATCAAAAATATCTTTCTTTAAAGTGCAATATCATCAAAAATAGTATAAAATAGGTATGAAAATCTCAACATATTTTCCTTTTGTCACCCTTATCCTCTATTACAATCATATTTTCCCGGTAGCCCCATCTTCCTCCTTTCCGACCACCACAACCACAACCATGACCACAACCACAACCACGACCTCCACCTTGTCCATGTACATCTGTCTCTCTCTTTAGATGGCTTAGGACAGACCCTGCTCAGATGACCAACTTCACCATAATTGTAGCACTTGTGAGTCTCCCCTTGGACACCTAACATACCTGGGCTCGCTGCAAATAATGTTGATTGTGCACCCGAAAAATCACTCGGCCTATAGTGTAGCTTCATGCGACTCTCCTCCTGTATCATCACATCCATGGACTCATCTAGAATAGGAATAGTCGCCTGAGCTTGGAGAACCAATATGCTATGATCAAAAGTCAGGTTTAGATGAGCCAGAAACTTCGTAGTTCTCATTCATGCAAAGATCTCTCTCTTCTTGCATCCTGGATCACCACAACTCGATATAGGTGAGAAATGATCAAGATCTTGCCACAGCAGCTTCAGGTTTATAGAGTACTTCTGAATTGATTTATCACCTTAAACTACTATCTTTATCTCGTGCTAAATTTAAAACACCCTCATGTTCTCAACCCCAACATAGATCTTCTTCAGCTTCGCCCAAATGTCACTCACCTTAGGAATGATATCAATTGATACGGCAATCAATTAAACAATCGAGTTGAGTAGTCAGGTGTAAAGCAAGACATGTGTGGTCCTCCACTCATCCCTCCCAGCACTATCACTCTTTGGCTCGACCCCCATCAGGTATTCTTGTAGTCTCTTCCCTACTAAAGCAGTCTTGATCTGACGCAACCAACTCAGATACGTGGCCGATCCATCAAGCTTCAAATCCACAGTAGGGAGATCTAGCTTCACCTGCGTTGGAGCATATGCTGAGGTAGTGGCTCTCGTCGAGACGCTAGCTCCCTGTATGAACTCGACCAAGACCTTTAGAACTTGGGATCTATCTTCCTCAAATGTTCCAAATCTTTACCTCATGCACTATCTCCGTCTCCTGACATCATCAATCACAAAGATAAATCTAGAGCACACAGGACACGTAACTTCCCTCTTGCAAATTGGTGTATCTGCTTTACCTTAATCCGCACTGAGCCACAACCTCTTTGCACCGCACGCAAAGCCGTAGCTACTCTGTCGTGTGAAACAGGAAGAAGGGGTCTCAGTATGCCGACGATCCTTCCCCCCAAGCATCCCTATTCGAGCGCTCGTCTGCTCGTCCTCACGCTCATCACACTGCATCACAATCTTCCCGGCCTCTACTCGTGAAGCTATCCGACTTCAAGCGAGGATACTTCTATTATCGTGTTTGCTCACCTGCGTCCTCGCTCTTTGTTTCACGCTTGTGTCGTGTTCTCGCTCTCTTTTGCATCGCTGGAGTGCCAACCACACATAATCTAACCATGCGATCCTGTCTCCTCACAAACCTATCGAGCACAAGACAACTGCTATGGTCAGGGCTGAGGCTCTGATACCAAATTGAAAATATTTGCTCAAAAAACCTCCTTCATTTTATTGATGATGGGGTTAAATTGAGCCTTACAATTTACAACATTTATAAATAAATCCCTATACTTCATCTATTTATAAATAAATCCCTAGACTTCATCTATTTACAAATATTACTCCATATTAGATACATATCTCAACACTAACAAACAAAGTAGAAAGAGGAATAGAAAACTAGAGGGAGGAGCTCTAGAGATTTCCCTAGAACTCTGTCTGAGAGCACAAACTGTTGTGGTCAATTAGAATGCATTGGGCTCATCATGAAACTCTCTATTTACAGGTTTAAGTTTATATTTAACGCTATAGAAATAAGTATACTTGAGTAATGCAAGTAAAATTACATCAAGATGAGATATGACTTATCCGCATTGTAGGATCTATGTACCCTTTTGCTCCCAAAAGTCATGGAACCTAAGTAAGGATCATCTTTGACAAATTCTTTGGAGGTTATTTTAATATTTCAATAAAAATGCCTAGTATTCCATTATATTTTCAATGAATTTAGATTCTTTCTAGTTATAAAGAGGTTTGACTCGGTTATAATTCTCCACCATTAAATCATGATAAAATCCATACCAGTACTGATATAATCTTATTTGTGTTTTTCTTCATTAATCTTCTTTTATATTTTCTTTCTTATTTCTCTCTGCATTTTCATATGTTTCGCCGATATAACTACCCTTGTGCTTACAAAAGCTCCCATCTTTTGAACTAACCGGGCATTTCCAAGCAGGAAATCTTCAGAAAACACTGAAATACTGAACTGCAATGAAAATCAGACCGAGAAGCCTATTGAAGAGAGGCTGGCTCTTGTTCCAGTGAACATCCCTCAGGAACCAGCAGCCTGTAGTGATTCAGAAGTCAAAAATAACGTTTATGATGTGCTTTTTGCTCTCAGGCAAGTCAGAGAGCAATTGCAGAACTCCATAGGAAGAACAGGCGCTCTCTATTCCACCATAGAACTGCATGGCCAACGAAGAACTTGCTGAGTTTCTATGGATGCAGCACCTTCCAAGTAATTGAAAGCAGATTTAAGTTTGTTCATATTATTATGGTTTTGCTGTTGAGAGTTTCTTTCTTGGATCCATGAAATGAGGCATTTGTATTTATCCCCAAGCTGAGGTTTGTGTTATGTGTATTTTTCCCTAAAAACTTAGTTGGTTTTGGTTTTGTAAGGACTTGTCAACCATTCAACCCATATGACAAGGATTTGTGTAGTTACTATTAGGAGGTTGGCCTGCCGTTTTTTGGGAGAAAATATTACATATTTTATAAGTATGTGCGGAAAATGGTGCATGGGAAGACCGCATCACTATAATTCACTTAGATGTGATGTGACATTCTCTTCCACTGTTGTCCGCACATACTTATTATTTTCTCCGTATTTTTAGAAGGAGAATTCTTCAAATGAGTTTATCAAATATAGACATTTTATATAGATAAATTTTGACTGAAGTGTCAAAATAGTTTGGTCATCTTAGTTGTAGTTTCAGAGGTTATAAAAATGTCAAATTAGTCCTCATACTATCATACCATGTGAGATATGAAATAGTCCTCCGTTATGGAGACTGAATTAGTACTTTTATAGGCTTTACGACGAAAATGACTCCCGGCAAAGAGTCAACAGCAGCAAGCTACATTCAGAACTTCTGCAGACCTCATCCCATGTTGCAGCTATCTTCTTTACACAATTCAATCTCAGCCGTTATTTTATATCGGCTCAAATCATCCTCACCGTCAGCTCTCTGCAACACAGAATACCCATTTAACTCCTACTATAAAATGACTCTCTGCAGATTTTATTATAATTTATTTGTGAAGAAAATGCACTGCAAATATGCCTTTATTTCCCAAAAAAATGGGGGCATTTACATGCACATCTCACAATTCTTATGTATTTATAAATACAGCACCTAAACTTTCATACAAAGCATTAATGTGTGATATATGTAACACACAAATCATTAAATATCACATAAAAAATAGCACAATTACTAATATAATAAAGATGAAATGTGTAAATGCTTATGATTTGTGTGGTATGTATGTAAATTTCCCCAAAAACAAAATTTATAACAATTGAGGTTTAATAAAATCTTTGAATGCCCTTTGTTAAAATAACCACTAGAACTTTAGACCCACTGTTAAATTTGTGTGATTTTAAGGGATATAATATGAACCAAAACACAACAAAGATAATCCAGAAAAACACACAAGGATTTAATGTGGAAAAAATTTGAGAACGGGAAAAAATGACGGAGTCACATCATCAAGAAATTTTCACTATCAATTCAAAAAGTTTTGCAGAGAACACATTCAAATTTTCTCTCTACAATTAAAGAAACTTATAACGCTTCACTCCAAATCCTCCCTCTCGATACGACTAGAGATACTTGAAATTCTCATCTCTGATGCTTCTCACCATCACTTGGAAAATGTTGAAGAAAATGTGCACATGAACTTTCACATTGCTGCTCCAGATAATATTTCTTAAGTTGAATAATGAACCAATCTCATCAGGCACAAACATGCCCGAAATTGGGCTCCTTAGTGCCCGTGGCTCGAGAAGAAAAACTTGGAACCCGAGAGGAAGGCATAAAGATGTCCACAATTTGGCATAAGGGCACCCACCTGGGCACTAGAGTGCATGGTTAAGCGCAAGGGTGCCCGTAGCTCGGCAAGAAAGTGCCAAGCGCCCAATCTCTCCTGCTTGTTGTTTGTGGCTGTGGTGCTTCCAGTGCTCCACATCAGACTCCACACCATAACAATCTCTTACTTGGAGACTGATTGCACCCAACACACGTCCCCCATATGTGCACTTGCTTCTTTATCACCTTCATAGTCATAAACCGTGGTACCGTGGTACCGTGGTGTGACTCACCCCTGGTTTGAACCTTCATGAAATCCAACTGAAGCCAAGCATAATTTCAGTTTCTCAATTGTCACCACATTCGTCAACATATCCGCAGGATTCTGAGTTGTGTGTATCATATCCAAGAACAAACTGTCCATCTTCTAGGAGATAACATATAAAATGAAACATCAGCTGAATGTCTTTTGTCCCGACATGAAAAACAACATTCTTAGCAAGATGAATCACACTCGTACTCGTCACTATGAATCTTTTAAATTCCCTAATCCTTGCCCAACTTCGCCATAAACTCTATACAAATTATCTCCTTGTTAGCCTCAGTGAGAGCAATGTATTCGACATTTGTAGTAAAAAAAATACAAGGATCATCTGCAACATAGAAACTTAACTCATTGTTGTGTTCCCCAATGTAAAGATATACCCTATTGTACTCATGCTGACCACTCCTACTTCAAGTATCCACTATTTGACATAAACATTTCAAACCTCCTGTACCACTATCTCGGGATCTTCTTCAAGCCATAAACTCTTCTTTAATCTAAAACCTAGTATTCTTTGCATGAAATCATGTAACCCTTTAGTTATTCATGTAAGAAAGCTATTTTTACATTCATCTGTTATAAATGTAGATCTTTCTTTGCTACTAGACTCAATACAACCCTGAGACTTATCATTTTCACCATTGGGGAAAAGATATTTGTATAATTCACTCCTTCCTTTTATTAGAAATCATTCACAACAAGTCTTACCTTATAACACATATTGCCATCTGACTCCTCTTTCAAACTGTAGACTCATTTGTTATATAGTGTTCTTTTGTTATATGACATAGTGTCAAGTCTAGTTTAACTCCAAAGATAAGATTTCTTCATCCATGGAACGCTCCAACTTCTTTGAGTCTTCAACTTGAGTACCCTCCTCAAAGCACTTTAGTTCACCACTATCAGTCAATAACAAATAGTGTAATGAAGGAGAATACATGTGTACAGATTGCATCACTCTACTAGATCTTCTGACTTCATTAACATGTGACTGAGGAACTTCTAGTACTCCTTTTGGTTGAGCACTATTTCTTTCTCCACATTCTTGATCATTAGGAGCACTCGACAGATTTCAAATTAAGTTTACTCCTGAAACCTGCATCAACATACACATTTGCAGAACACCAAAATATTTTTAAATGAGATAAAATTACATTTTTGTCGCTCCAAGCTTTTTCAGTCAAAACTTACAAAGGTACTAATGGACCACATTTAATTAGATAAATTGCAGTGTTTACTGCTTCAATCTAAAAGTCATGATCCTAGCACACTTCATAATTATTTTATCCATGCATTCAACAACACTATTCCGTTGCAGTGTTCTTGAGACAATGAATTTATGTCTGACCCCATATGTAGAATAAAAATTTCTAAACTTCTGATCACGTTACTTAACCCCATTATCTGATTATCTGATTTGAGACACTTCAACTTCAAGACCATCTCATTTTCTATCATATCCTTCAACTTCTTAAAAATTTCAAATACATCATATTTTTTTTGCTTTAAAAAGTAAACTCATACTATGCTAGTGTGATAGTCAATAAAAATGACAAAATAACAGGAATCTCCAATGGACGGAACTGAAGTAGGACCCCATATGTCAGCATGCACTAACTCAATTTTTTTTGGCTTCATCGTTGACGCGTGTTTAGAGAAAGCGACTTTCTTTCGCTTGTCTTATATACAATTTTCACAGAAATTCAAATCAACTGATTTGAAACCCTAAATTCTAATTTTCAAAATATATGGTCTACTTATTGCTTCTGTACTTAATCCAAATCAACGTCAACGATCCCCAACGGGCCGCTCTCTATTAAAATATTTTCTAACGGCCTCTTCACCAATGAAGCTGGTCGCAAACCCGGGTGCATTCATTCAATTACCTAATTTTAAACTCTATGTATTTCTTTTCTTAATTCACTCAAAATTAAAATTGATTTATTCCGTCAATATAATTAATAGTAAGTTTATATGTTTCTGACAACATTTTCTCTATATAATCGATTTTATTTTTCTCTTAAAATAAGCTTTGTTAAATTTAAAATAAAATTCTATTAAAAAAATATATAATCTATTTACATACGCTCAAATTTTGGTTAGGTTTGAAATTTACATAAAAATTGCGTGGTATTTATGTAATTTTTTTTATTACTTTGAATGTATAATCCGCTGAGTTGTACTGAGTTAGCTACAATGGCGACACTCGCCGCTTCATCGCTGTCACCGATGACGTTTTCGAATACGAATTTTCCAGAAAGATTTTACAGAAGCTCCATTAAATCACCATCTCCTTCATCGCTCCCGTTCTATAAATCCAATCTCGTTTTCTTCTCTGGCCATCTTCACAATCAGAAGCTAAGGAGCAAGAGAAAAGTTGTTAGATTCTTTGCAATGGCCGCAGCAGTCGTTAGGTCTGTTCAAAACCCTAAATTGCTCTTCTTTACGATTCCGTTTGTTCGTCCCTCGGTTTTGAGCTGTATTATTTATTGTAGCAGTTACAAGAAGGATGACCTTCCTCCTTCTCTGGATGCTACAGCGGAGCCGCCTGCTCTGTTTGATGGAACTACGAGGTAAAGTTTCTCTTTTTTCGCTTTAGGATTTTATGGATTTTCCTTTATTATTGCTGAGACGATTATTCGGCTGATCAGGTTGTACACAGCTTACATTTGCCCGTTCGCACAGCGCACCTGGATTGCTAGGAACTATAAGGTAATTACTATGTTTCTCTGTTTTAGGAGGCGTATGAATGAGATTTAGAAAATAATTTGTTGTGCGCTCTTGAACAGGGGTTGCAAGACAAGATAAAACTGGTGCCAATTGATCTGCAGAACAGGCCTGCCTGGTACAAGGAGAAGGTTTATTCTGTCAATAAGGTACGTGGAATTGGATGAAAGATTTTATCTTTCTGTGATCCTTTCAGTCATGGCTTGCTTTTCCGGCTTCATTGAACTGATGTTATTTGGGTGTGTTGATGATTAGGTTCCTTCTCTGGAACATAACAATGAGGTTAAAGGGGAGAGCTTGGATTTGCTCAAGTATATCGATGAGAATTTTGAGGGCCCTTCTTTGTTGCCTGATGTAAGAGCAGTTGAATAACTTTCCTTAGCTAGATCAACACTGGTTTTAGTTTCTTGAGGTATTGATAAGCTTTGTGGAAAACTATTGTAGGATCCGGAAAAGAAGAAGTTTGCAGAGGAACTGCTGGCTTTCACTGACTCCTTCAATGGTGCTTCCTATCGAGACTTGCCTTCAAAGGGTGATGTCAGTGAAGAAGTTGGTGAGTTACCAACTCTGATTGTTGTTCTGGTTTATAAAACTTTTTTCATCTGTTGAAGCTCCGTTACATCTCTTGGTTCATGAACCCTGCAGTTAATGCTTTCAACAAGATAGAAGAATACCTTTCAAAGTTTGATGATGGGCCTTTTTTCCTCGGACAGTTCAGTCTGGTAAGAGTTGAAAATTTAAGTAGGTGAATTTCAGAATTATTTTTTTTATTTAGTGTCTTGTTGTCTCATTGCTGAATAATGTGGTATATTTTAGGTGGATATAGCATATGCTCCGTTTGTTGAGAGGTTTCAGCTTTTATTTGCTGATGTAAGGAACTATGACATTACCAAGGGGAGGCCCAAGCTCACACTATGGATTGAGGTATATTTAGGATTGTTTGGGATAGTTTTCTGTCTGCTTTGCATTCCAAGCTTCATTTGAGAACTGTTTTCTTGTTATTTTTAGAAAACTTTATCATAGGAAGCTGCTGTTTGATTTTTTTTTTAATTTATATTTGTAATTCTCATCGTAGTTTTATAAGAAATAGTTATCTACATTTACTTAGATTAGCATTACAAGCAAACGGTGAAGAAGGGTTTTGGAAGTCCACTCCAAAGCTTTGGGTTTATGAATGAACTTTTTAATCTTATTATGAGTGCTTTATCCATATTATTGTTTTTGGATTTTTTTCAAAGAGAAGATGGATATCAAGAGTTTGAGCTATCGAAATATTTTAGAAATGGTTTATGGCTATTTGTTCCTGAAATCCAAAATTGAATATACTGAAATCTATCACATTAGGTAGCATTTATCTTCTAATGATAGAATATTGGCAGATAAATAGAAATGTTAAACTGATTAAAATTATATAGTTATTAGTTCTATTATTCTTAAGTTTGTTATCTTCTAACTATTTTCTCACTTTTTTCAATGATGATCTCATGAATTAGATCTAGATTATCAATAAATATAGTGCTAAAATGCATGAATAAGATCACTTTTTGGAACCATTTCACATCAAATAGAATCCATTTCTTAACTTTTATTTTTACTTTTGTACTGCTTAATTATTGTTACCTTGTATAAAAAATTTGTTATTTTAATTGACAAATTAACATTGTAGGAGCTGAACAAGATTGATGCTTATACTCAAACTCGATATGATCCTCAAGAGTTGATTGCTACCACCAAGAAGAGGTTTGGGGTAAGCTTCTACATTATTTACAGCTTACTTCAGCATTTACATACATAACGCCCAATTCATATGTATTTACATATCTACCGCCTAAATTTTACTTTTTACATATCACCTATAAAATACCACATTTTTAACTTTTAAGAAGTGAAATGCATCTTTTCGTGAGTAGGGTGCGATGTATGTAATAATTAAAGTTTAGGAGTTGGATATGTAAATTTGTATGACTTGTGTGGCTTGGATTTAAATCTTCCTGGTTAACTTACTCCGTTCAATTTAATTGACTCCTTTATTTATTTTTATTTTGTTTTCTTTTCAAGATAAACTGAGGAATTCGACATCTCCTTTTCGGGTATTGTAATCAGCTAAACTTTCATATTTTTTTATTTTTGTGAAAAATTATAAACTTTTCAACTTTGCATAAGCTAATAGAGTTATCCCATTAAGAGATCAGCAGACTTTCTCCTCTCTACATTACCTCTGTTGTTTTGCTTATTGTTGAGTTGCTGCTTATAATGCAGGTGTCTCGTATTTGAGCTGGGGGCCTTCTAATAAACGAATTTTCATATCTGGAATAAGATTTTGCTGTTATAGTTGTGTAATAAATGATTTGCTTTCAGTATGTATGCTGATCGTTGAATTGTAATTGTTTGTCAGCAGCCCACTAGCTATGAAAAAAATTGAACTTTGGTTAATGGATTGGCGTACAAATGTGATGGAAAATGCAGATAGTTTTTCTCTTCATTAAAAGATTGCTGATAAATAAATTGAGCATGCGATTTAACCACACAATTCTTATGTATTTACATATCAAACACCTAAAAATTCATATTTATGTGTATATCACTCAAATCTTAGACATCTTACAAGCATGATTATTGCTTTCAAATTAGCCATTTTTGCATTAATTGCAATTTCATTAATCTGACTGATTAGTTTACCTGTTCTATTTGCTTCTTCTGATGGTACATCATTATGGATTGGATTAGTCCTTCTATTAGTTATTCTGAATTCTCTCATCTCTTATACTTTTTTGGTATTTCCCCGATCCGAAGATTACAATTCTTCTAAGAAATTCAAATTGTGAGAGACGCTAATTCCATCTGAGTTTTACAGATCAATTTTTATGAATTAGATATAGACACTAAGATTGCTGAATTCTTTCATCTCTGTTGTTCTAAGTTTTTTTATCTGACCCTGCTCAAATATGATTTAGACGCATATATGATGTATCATATATGATTCACATTGATTGTTTTGAGAAGTATTTGCCATCTGGAAAGAGGAAAAAAATGGAGTCTGTCTAAAAAAATGCATTAAGAAAGGGCAGATGTATAGAAACTTTCAGACCCATTTAGATATTCTTTCAGACCCATTGCTGATCATCAACAATGCTGCTATCATTAAATTTTAAAAAGATAGATATTTAGTGAAGAGATCAGCTAATTGGTTTATATTGTTGATTTGATGATGATAAATTGTTTTTTTTAATGTTCTATCCTGGTGCGAAAAATCAGATTATTTGTGAGAATTATGAGAGATGTATTGTCTCAATAAATTGTAGTCGGTTCATGTATAGGAATTTAAAAGTCTTGTAGGATTTTCCAAAGCCATATAATATTTGTAGCAGCTGTTGCTAAAGCACGATATTCAGCTTCTGTTGTAGAATAAGTGGTGGCCTGCCTTTCGTTCAATCTTGAAATGAGAGTGGAGCTTAGAAAAATACAAATATTGGAGATGGGATTTCTATCCTCGGGATCGCTTGCCATAAGCAGTAAGAATAAGCGCATCCTTAATTCTAGGTAGTCTGAGAGATGCGATTCTTTCGTTATAGCGAAGAAGACGTATTAGTTGCTGAAAATTGGCATGGGCAGGATGACGCATGAATTGGCTCACTTGATTTACTGTATAATTGAGATCAGGTCTGGCTAATGTCAAGTATTTGAGGGATCCAACAAGGAGCTTTAGAATGAAGTATCAGAAGCAATAGGAGAAGCATTCGGTCCATCTATTTTGCATTGTGTGATGAGTTTTTTGACAAATTTGGAGTTGTGCATTTCAGAGATATGAAGAATTTGTTGAGCATAGGAAGCTTAATTTAATATGGGATAAGTAAATTACATCTGGTGAGTTAAATAGAATATTTGATTAGGAAACTGTACATAAATGAAAGCTTCTGTTTTTGTAGGAAGAAGACATGGTAGTGCAGAGGTGGAAATTGCCAATAAAATTAAAATTTTTCCAAACAGGTCAGACAAATGAAAAATTTTGTCCCTATTAATAAATTATTTTTATAATACTTGATGCGTGTTGGAAAATTCGCGGCGGTAAAGTAAATTATTATTCTTTTAGCGTTATACGAGACTTCAACACACACACGGATGAAAAATAAACAAACAGTGACAACTCCAAAAGTTTTTATGTGGAAATCCCATAAAGAGAAAAAACACGGACAAGACCTAGTTGTGAAAATCCACTATTAATTGATGATTACTGAAATTACTTATTCCGCAAATGAGAAATTATTACTAGATTTTCTGTTTACAACGTTGACTGACGTCGTTTGTTTGGTGGTAATCGACGATGATTCGTGGAGATCGATGGTGACGGTCGACAGTGGCTGACGACGATCGACAGTGGCTCAAGGACTTCAACTCCTTAGAGCTTTCAGTTCTCTCTGAATTTTCAAGCATCCTTTCATGTGAGGGGTAGGGCTTCATTTATAGTGTTCTGGGTGCAATTAATACATAAATATGAATCATTTTGATCAGACGGTTCATAGAACTCTCCTCGATCATACGACTTTTAATGGACATTTGAGTTTCTTAATGATGTCAGAATTGAGTGATCTTTGACTCGTTAGATTCGTCTTGTCGAGACGCTCGATTCAAGTATAAACTTGTCATATTTGATAACCGTTTGATCTTCCAAATATGTCTGAAAATCTTCTAAGTGTGATTCAATGACATGATCTGGGCTTGATTTGACTCGGCTTGAGTAAGTTTTCATATTATTAGGTCCGTCTCATCGAGTCGGTCAGTTTGACTATTTACTGAAATCGGAGCTCTATGTGAGTTTTTATCAAGAATTTAACATCTCTTACTCAAAATATTATCTCGAGATCCGTGTCATGCTTCTAGATTCGTGTCAGATAATAAAAATTTGTTGGTGACGTATCAGTTGCACCCTATTTTCGGGCGAGTCAAATTTTATCATCCGACAATATTGATATCCAAAGCCACTTTATTTTTATCGCACATAGATATATATATAATATTTGAATTAAGAGTGGCAAATCTTAAGTTCGAATCTTCCAAGGTCAAAAATCTCCCAATTTTGTTATTTTTTTTTAGTTGGGGAAGACGGGGAGCTTCATGGGAATTCGAACTTCCGTAGATGTGGTGAATGAAATTGAACCTCTTCATGCGGGAATTGAAACCGAAAGTCAAGAATTTGAGTAGACAGAGTTCTTCTAAGACTTGTAACTTTCTGAGGTTTTTTCAATGAAAACCCTCTTGGGTTCGTCTTTCGGCGGCATGGTAGCTTCTTATTCAATCCTGTCTTCTGGGCTTGACTTCTGGGGCCATGGTTGAAAGTAGAATCCATTGAGGATGTAATACCAGTTTTGAGTTGTATAAACAAAGAAGCTCGACGGTATTAACCCGTAACAAAGTCATATGAAATCCACCGAGGATGGTTGACCTATCCTAGGTTGTTGGTCGAAGCCTTTGCTTGACAGCCGTAACATGTAATGGAAGAGGTCGAATGAAATCCACCGAAAATTTTGACCTATTCAAGGTTGTATGTCGAAGCTTTTGTTAGATGACTGTAGCTTGTAATGGAAGAGGTCAAAGGAACTCACCAATGATTTTTGACCCATCCGAGACTGTATGTCTAAGCTTTTGCTTGATGAATGTAGCCTGTAATGAAAGAGGTTGAATCGAGTCTCTCTGGGATCGATTAAGCCTAGGAGAAGGTGTCAGAGATGCTCTACTTTTCTCGAGGCTAGGGCATAGGTCGCAATGAACCATATGTTTTTTTTGAAAATATGGTTGCAGTTATACTCAAGAAAAATGTTTGACAACTTATTAGTTGTTGTTTTTTAATCTTTTTACCTCCCAGCATAGGCATTTTCTATGTGAGCTTATAAAACAACCCATGTATTGGGCCTTAAAGATATCGGCTTCTTGATCTAGTTGAAGAAGAACTCCAGTACCATGAGGGGGTGTTGAGGATGCGTTATTTGCAGTGATGATTCGCTCCCCAATATAGAAGTGATTCTTGTAGACATGTAATTTGAATGAAATGTGGGATAACTTCCCCACCATAGTAGTGCTCGGGATGTTAACATGATCTACCTTTCGAGACTGCAATGAAGGTTGCCTCTAAACTTGGAAGAAGTTGTGAAATGTTTTGTGTTTGAATATAATGTGAGAAGACAACCCTACTACAATCATGCCCGGGACATTGATATGAACAAATCCTTTCGAGATATAGTGAAAGTTGCCCCCCACATTGAAGAATGCATCAGAGATGATCTTCATAACGTAAAGGAGGGTCTTTCACTAGTTGGATGAAGTACATCATTGGGAAATTAAGGTGTCTTAGAGTTGAAGACAATGCCGAACGGGACTTCGCTTCCCACAGATGACTCCAAACTGATGCGTGCTGGAAAATTTGTGACGGTAAAATAACGGATTATCATCTTAGCGTTGTACGAGAATTCAGCACACACACGGATGAAAAAGAAACAAACAGTGACAACTTCAAAAGTTTTTACATGGAAAACCCGTAATGTGAAAAACTACGGGACCTGACCCAGTTGTGAAAATCCACTATTGATTGATGACTACAAAAATCCATTGTTCCACAGACGGGAAATGATTACTAGTTTTTCTGGTTACAACGTCGAATGAAAATGCCTGGTTGGTGGTAATCGACGATAATTGATGGCGATTGACGGTGACAGTTGACGGTGGCTGACGGCGATCGGCGGGTGTCGATGACGATCGACATTGGGTGATGACGGTCGGTGGCGAACAATGACAATCGACGCTGTCCGACGGTGATTGTCTAGTTGTTGGCGGCCGACAGGGATCAACGGCGATTAACGGAGGCCGACGGTGGTCGGGATGGTGTTGGACTTCAACTCCTGAGAGCTTCTTGTTCTCTTTAAATTTTCAAGTCCCCTCCTTTCATTTGAGGGGGAGGACTCTATTTATAGTGTTATGGGTGCAATTAATACAGATATATGAATCATTTTGATCGTACGGTTCAGAGAGTTTCCCTCGATCATACGATATTTAATGGACATTTGAGTGCATTGATGATGTCAAAATTGAGTAATATTGAGTTTGTTTATATATATAATATTTGAATTAAGAGTGGCAAATCTTAAGTTCGAATCTTCCAAGGTCAAAAATCTCCCAATTTTGTTATTTTTTTTTAGTTGGGGAAGACGGGGAGCTTCATGGGAATTCGAACTTCCGTAGATGTGGTGAATGAAATTGAACCTCTTCATGCGGGAATTGAAACCGAAAGTCAAGAATTTGAGTAGACAGAGTTCTTCTAAGACTTGTAACTTTCTGAGGTTTTTTCAATGAAAACCCTCTTGGGTTCGTCTTTCGGCGGCATGGTAGCTTCTTATTCAATCCTGTCTTCTGGGCTTGACTTCTGGGGCCATGGTTGAAAGTAGAATCCATTGAGGATGTAATACCAGTTTTGAGTTGTATAAACAAAGAAGCTCGACG